CTCTCAAATCTCCAAACTCTCAAATTCCCAAACTCTCAAATCTCCAAACTCTCAAATTCCCAAACTCTCAAATCTCCAAACTCTCAAATTCCCAAACTCTCAAATCTCCAAACTCTCAAATTCCCAAACTCTCAAATCTCCAAACTCTCAAATTCCCAAACTCTCAAATCTCCAAACTCTCAAATTCCCAAACTCTCAAATCTCCAAACTCTCAAATTCCCAAACTCTCAAATCTCCAAACTCTCAAATTCCCAAACTCTCAAATCTCCAAACTCTCAAATTCCCAAACTCTCAAATCTCCAAACTCTCAAATTCCCAAACTCTCAAATCTCCAAACTCTCAAATTCCCAAACTCTCAAATCTCCAAACTCTCAAATTCCCAAATCTCTAAAACCCCCAAATCCCCAAACCCCCAAACCTCCAAATCCCTCCACCTCCCCATCCCAAACCTCCCAACAATCCACATCCACCTCAACCCTCCTCAATTACCCCAAAACACCCATCAACACTTCCCTCACATTAGCACCTTCTCAAAGCTCCATTCTTCCAAGAATCTTCAGCCTTTCTCTGTTTACCGAACCCCCTTAAATCAAAGCTAATTTCAATTCCCCGTGTCTCAGAAATCGCACTCTTTCTAGGCTCCCTATAGGTCGTCGAAACGGGTGGTAGGGTCGTTACCTATGGTGTCGAGGTGTATGATAGTCACGGCATACGTGATCGGACGCGTGAGCGAACTGCCAAGGCACGCGCCGTGCCGGAGCACGTAATTATCATAGGGAAGTTAGGGTTGCCCCTCGTGGACACGTAGGTAGAGTGTGTATACAGACACACGTACACGAAGAAGGGAGGTCGAGGGTTCGGTTCGACTCGGGTCAGGAAGTCACGCGAGGCACACTCGCAGCGGACCTGGAAACAGGGAGGAGTACTTTTATTGTTCTACCAGTTGTCTTAGACGGTTTTCCTGCCCACTGGGCAGACCAGAAACTCTCGATTGCTCCCGCTGGAATAGTCTTCCTTTTATCCTAGAAACTTAAGTTATAGGGTTGTTTCTTCTTGTTTTTTATGTACTTTGGTGATTAGGGTGTATCTTGTCTGTATATGGTTAGGTTTATGGTTAGGTTAGGTATATGGTGTGTATTGTCTATATTTTTATGGTATATTTGTTTGGACTTAAGGGACTATTTTGTTTTGGGGCTTTGTTGGATTTTGTTAAGAGGACAGTTTGTTTTAATTTTTATGGTGATTTGGAATGAAATTTAGTCATTATAATTCAGTATTATTATTAGTATTATAATTCAGTCATAATCTGCACTTTGTAGTTCAGAAGCAAAAATATAAATTTACAATTGTATGTACATGAATCAGTAAGAGGTGAGTCTCATCAAATTTAGACAACAGTTATCTCTCTTTGTAAAAGACAGGACTCACTGTTAGCTTTGAGTAGTTAATATACAATAGTATAATAGTACATACATATGTATATTGTATAATAGTATATAAATAATATAAGTACATATATATATATTTTTGTTTATACATCAATCGGATGACAGTGAGTCCTTGCTTTATCTGTTAAGCGAGAAATATTGTATTTATATCAATATAAGTATTGAAGTGTGCATTGAAGAGCGTCAACAGTTATCAGTTCCCAGAACAACTACCACTTTTAATAGACATGACTCATTATCAATGGCAACTGTATTCATACATTTTACTGTATAAATGTAAATGTATTATGTAAATATAAATGTACATTGATATTCATATAATTGTACAATGTATTGATATTCATATAATTGTACAATGTATTGATATTCATATAATTGTACAGTGTATTGATATTCATATAATTGTACAATGTATTGATATTCATATAATTATACATATAATATATTGATATTCATACAGAGATAAATCAAAGGTAGACAGCAGTCATCAGTCTCTAAAAATTCAACTACATCTCTCAATAAGAGTCACCATACATTATAATACGCATATCAATGTACATTATATATTTATAAAATTGCGACGAACTTCAAACACAATTACAGTAGCACGAATCATAGTTAAAAGAAGAACTGCCGTTGAAATGATGTCACCGAAATTTACGTTTGAAAATGATGTTATAGCGCGCACGTGCGAACGAGACCATCAATTCCCTCTTTGATAACTGATCCATGGCGATTGCAATCTAACGAGGCGTCGAAACCACAAACCGTTTACATCAAATTGCCGCAGGCTGGGGCTTTGAACTCCGCGAAATGATCGTGTCACTTTGTATTAACCTTTGCTGGTGTCAGAGATACCTGCCATAATCATCATATGTATTCTATTTATAATATTTTCTGTGTTTATAGTTATACTGAAATTGTGATAATGGTAGCGGTAGCAATACTAGAGTATGTTAAGTCTTAGTTAATAGTTTAAGTTTTAGTTAATAGTGTTTTTAAGGAGAAGAGCTGGAAGTTGGAGATTTGGGGAGTTTGGGGAGTGGGGATTTAGGGAGTGGAGATTTAGGGAGGGGAGATTTAGAGAGGGGAGATTTAGGAATTGGGGATGCAGGAATTGGGGACTTAGGAATTGGGGACTTAGGAATTGGGGACTTAAGAATTTGGGATTTAGGAAATTTGGAGACTTGACAATTTGGGAATGTGGGAATTGGGGAATGTGGGAATTGGGAAATGTGGGAATTGGAGAATGTGGGAATTGGGGAATGTGGAAATTGGGGACTTGGGAATTGGGGAATGTGGGAATTGGGGACTTGGGAATTGGGGAATGTGGGAATTGAAAAATGTGAGAATTGGGGAATGTGGGAATTGGGAAACGTAGAAATTGGGGAATGTTGGAATTGAAGAATGTGGAAATTGAGGAACGTGGAAATTGGGAAATGTGGAAATTGGTGTATATGGAAATTGACAACTTGGGAATTTGAAAACGCGGTAATTGGGGACTTGTGAATCTTGAAAATCCATAAGTAGTCCCTCCCCAAATCCCCCAAATCCCTCCAAAGCCTCCACCTCCGTCAAAGCACAGTTCCACATCAAAAATGGTATCTCGTACAATATCGTAAGAGCCTGTAAGAAACAGCGATAGAACGCGATCGATGTCTACACGTTATCGTCTCTGCCACTGTACGATTGGAAGGTTGTTCGTCGTCCGAAGATTTTCCTTCTCGTCCTCGATTCGCTAGAGAGCACAGAGGCGAGTAAAGGGTGCCCGGAGTCGCCTCTGGGTGCAAGTTCACGCGTCGCGACTCTGGCTTGTTCGAGAATTCGCTTTGTGTGCACGCGGCCGTGTGTGTGCGGGGGTGGTTGGGCGTCCCGGCGCTTTGTGGCGCGTTGAACCGCGACCCCTTTGTCGTCGAGAGAGAGAAATAGAGAGGGAGAGAGGAGAGAACAAGCCCCGGGGGCTGTGTAGAGACGCTTGGCCGCACGGCAACACACCGACGAAGCCAGCCAGGACCCCACCCTGTGGACGCAACCTACACAGACGTACCCTCGCACAATCCTCTCGCGGATATCACAGAGCCTGCCCGCGGGCAACTTGTTATAAACGGCTTCTGGTCTGCCCTCGCCACGCTTGGCCAGCTTACAACCGAGCCACGCCATGGATCACCTACCAAAGAGCGAATTAACGCTTTGATTCTCGCCTGCATGCGAAACACCTCGCTACCGGTGGGAAATTAAGGTAGAGAACGTCTTGTTTTTTCTTTTATGAGATTTTCAGAGGTTTAGAGATTTTGAGTGTGCATTTTGGGGCGGTTGGTACCACTTGCAGGTTGCATGGTTTTGGTACCACTTGCAGGTTGGATGGTTTTGGTACCACTGGTTTAGATCGACGCGGAGAACGCAGGAGGTTATACTTTGTATTTGGAGGATCATTGAGAAGGTTTTATTTTACTTACTTTCGAGTAGTTAGATTGGAAAGTAAGATCTTTCTAATTTTAGCAAGATTTTTTTAATTTTTATGTTTACAAGTTTATGGATTTCGTTCCCCTAACCTCTAATTTGTGAATCGCAAAGTTTGATTGCTATGTTTTCGAATTGTCAAATTTATTGACTTCTAGATTTTTAGATTTGTAGATTTTCAAATCCCTATGAACCCAAATTCCCCAATTTCCAAATCTCCCAAATTCCAAATCCCCCAAATATTAAATTCCCTGAATTCCAAATTCTCCAAATTCCAAATCCCCCAAATATTAAATTACCTGAATTCCAAATTCTCCAAATTCCAAATTCCCCAAATTCCAAATCTCCCAAATTCTAAATCCTCCAAATTCCAAATCTCCCAAATTCCCAATCTCCCAAATTCCAATTCCCCCAAATTCTAAATCCTCCAAATACCAAATCTCCCAAATTCCAAATCCCCCAAATTTCAAATCCCCCAAATTCCAAATCTCCCAAATTTCAAATCCCCCAAATTCCAAATCTTCCAAATACCAAATTCCCCAAATTCCAAAGCCCTAAAATTCCAAATCCCCCAAACTCCCAATTCTCCAAATTCCAAATACCCCAAACTCCCAAGTTTCCAAATTCCAAATCCCCCAAACTCTCAATTCTCCAAATTCCAAATTCCCCCCAATTCCAAATCTCCCAAATTCCAATCCCCCCAAATTCCAAATCTCCCAAATTCCAAATCTCCCAAATTCCAAATCCCTCAAATACCAAATCCCCCAAATTCCAAATCCCCAAATTCCCACATCCCCACATCCCCAAACATCCACCTACAAAAGTCCCCAAAATCCCCCAGTACCATCAAGTTTCCATAAACCGCGAAAAATATTAAAATTGAAACTCACCCTGTCCAGGGGCCGGTGACGTGGCGTGGCTCCAGCCTCCTTTGTACGAGCTGCTGGCATCTGCAACGATGAAATAAAAAGAGGACTCAATTAAAAAGCAACGATCGTACGTGTGAGTACACAACGGTCTGTCTATAGTACATATATCAGTTACACGATGTTGAAACGAGAAATGCAACATTGATCGAAGCCAAACTAGGCAAAAAGTGGCACGTGCTACGAGTACTTCGTGATCCCCGGTTAAAGATTACCGCCATTTTTTTTTTTACCTTTTTGTAGGTCACGTTATTAGAAGACGTATAACGTCTGCAATTGCAAGGTAATCTGTAGCAAGAATCGCGACTGGTCGTAAAATATATCTGATAGCTGGTTTTCGAGCAGCCTTCGTCGGAAAACAATTTCTTAGGAAAAATCTTTACGACACCTTAATGACACGTCGGTCTTGAAATACGATTTAGATTTCCTTCCTATGTTTCTATTCTTTATCGGAGATAATCAGTTTTTAGGCGGTGGACACGAACTTTGTTGCTAATTTTGTGAAAGTGGATGTGTTTAAAAATTGATTTAAAGTTGGTAGTTTATGTATGTTATGTATTCTATAGACAGTTACATATTTTGCAGTTTATGAAGAACAAAAATTTGGAACATTACCAAGGATCTATCTGTTCAGTTATTTGACTTGCTACATTTACTTAACCTTTAAAATGTTACTTCATAGAAAGTGTTACATAGGTAAGTACTTTCTCTCTCTCAAATATTGTATAATAAAACAAACAAATATTTTGTAGTTTATGAAGAAAAATACAAAACAAGGAAGTCTATCAGTCTGTATCTACTCATGAAGCTATTTGACAATGTCAGACCTATCACATCTACTTAACCTTCAAATTATTGCATAAATAAAAGTGTTATAGCTGTGAGTACACTTTTTAATCTTACTATAATATTCTCCTTTAAGTATTGTCTAATAAAATAATAATATTTTGTAGTTTCCAAAGAAGAATACAAGACAAGGAAGTTTATCAATCTGTATCTACTTATGAAGCCATCTAGCAGTATCAGACTTGCTACTTCTACTCAACCTTCAAACTATTACATAAAAAAATGTGTTATAGTGGTGAGTACACTTTTGACTCTGCTATAATATTTTCCCTTAATTGTGTAGTATAATAATAAATATTTTGTAGTTTCCAAAGAAGAATACAAGACAAGGAAGTTTGTCAATCTGTATCTACTTATGAAGCCATCTAACAGTATTAGACTTGCTACAATTACTAAACCTTCAAACTATTACATAAAAAAAAGTGTTATAGTGGTGAGTACACTTTTGACTCTGCTATAATATTTTCCTTTAATTGTGTAATAAAATAATAAATATTTTGTAGTTTCCAAAGAAGAATACAAGACAAGGAAGTTTATAAATCTGTATCTACTTATGAAGCCATCTAAGTATCTGACTTCCATTTACTTAAACTTCAAACTACCAAAAGTCCTGTCATGGTGAGTAATTTTGTACTTTCCACGAAACATAAAACAATGAATTTTATCAACCAGCACCTACGAAGCTATTAAACAACCTAATCCTCTGATTAAGTCTCAGATTACGTCTAAGATCAAGCCTCAGATTAACTCTGAGATTAAGACTTAGATCGCAGTCTCGATAAAGGTTAATAGGTCAAGAACCCGATCGATTAAAAACAACCAGATACAATTAGTTATCGTTGCAGTACGATAAGAAAATATTTATGCGAAATATTCATCTCGTTGATCGTGCTTTCGAAAAACATCGAACACAAAGTGGTATAGAAGTTTCTTCCGAAGTCTTGCCACTGTGTTTCCATCGCCGACGGTGTGTTTGCAGACAGATATATTTTCATTTGGCAGTTATTGGCACGAGGGTGGCAGCCGTGTGTACATACGTACAGCAGTACGTCATGCTCCTGCAGAAAGTCCGACGTAGTCGTCGTCTTTCTGTGTAAACAACGACCACGGTGTACTGAACGAACCGACCTTTTCGTCTTTCGCTGCCCCCTTCATTTGATCTACAGCCTACGGTCCATTAATACAGCCTCGGATTTCACGTTTCAGGAAAGCGTAGGGGTTGCGTACATCGACACCTATCGCTCACCTAATGCCGGAAAGCCGAGAATCTTTTACGTAAATCGGATTCTTTTGTAAACGTTGCATTTGTTCCTTATTTTCAATACTGATATCACAAGGTTTTCATGTTCATTGGGTTTCAATATTTGTTCATTATCACATATCTGTACTGTAAGATTATTTAGATATCTACATTTACAAAGTTTTATATTTTTAAACTATCAAATGTAAGAATCTTTAAGTTTGCACATACAGAAATGATTCAATCTTCAAATTCTCAAATTTCTAAATTTTCAAACATTTTTAACTACATTTGGAAATTCATAAATATCCAAGTTGCTAAATTTCACTTGACTATGTTAACCTTGTTCAGAATGCTACTACTATAACAAAGAAAAGGAACAATACACCTTCCATTATTAAAATTTCCCAAGAGTATGAAGAGTGTCTGACACCACATCAGAAACAAAAATCAACCGTCGCACAAAGCACAAATATTATAATAAACCTGGTTGGTCCCATCAGTGACGGATTTAATTTTTAGGGGGCCTGACAATTATACTATATTTAAACACAATCTTTGTTTCAGGTTTCTTCCTGTAAGCAGATGACGATACGTGGATCAATTTAGAATACTTGCAGTTACTATAGCAGTTGATATGTATAAATACGGTATTCTATATGTACATATAAATACCTTGTAGGTGTACAGTAATTTATACATATAAATTCAATATGTTGTATAGGTACAGTATTCTATGCGTGTGGATGCAGTACTTTATATATATGAATTCAGTACTTTGTACATACAGTACCTTGCATAAATACAGTACCTTATAAGTACAGGTACAGTACCTCATGCATAGAGATACAGTACTTTATACATATGAAGTGCCTTATACGTACAAGTACAGTACCTTATAGTACACATTCAGTGCTTTATTGTACCAGTAGCTTATAGTGCACATTCTGTGCCTTATATGTACCAGTACCTTATAGTGCACATTCAGTGCCTTATATGTACCAGTACCTTATGCACACATTCAGTGCCTTATATGTACCAGTACCTTACAGTACACATTCAGTAGCTTATACGTATAATTATGGTACCTTACGCGTACACAGTACTTTATACATATGAACCAGTACCGTATACATACAAATACAATACCGCATACCTTACAGTAGCTTACAGGTAGTTGACACGTATCGAAAGGAATTAGTAAAAGGCCCACTAAGTAAATCCGTCACTGTTACCGCGAACCCCCACTGCCACGTGGCCCGTCGGTCTCCGAACACTGTACCGAAGAGGACGTACCGGCGAACAGCATCGAAAGATTGGTGAACGCCGTGGTGCGTGGTAGTTCCGCGGCGGTGGTCCCGCTGCTCTTTAAGTCGAGCATCTCGTCGCGTCCCGTGTGCGAGCGGCCGTTGATTACGGCAGCCTGCACGGGTCTTTTCCTCTCCTCTGTCTGGCTAGTCACGGCACTGTCAACGTCCGGATCGCAGCTAACGACGTGAGAAAGCTGCTCATAGCAGCCCCGGTTGACCGTTTAACGAACCACTGCGAACGGAAGTGGGATCGCGACACGCTGGATCACGGCCTCGGATCGGTAAAAGTTAATGGGCTGCGCGATAAGGGCGCCGATCATCTTGGCGACCCGCTCTGAGTGACACTGGCCCTCGAACCAAGAAATCCAGCTAACGGGGGGTTCACACCCCGTCGCCGCCCCCTGCGTCGCCAGAGGGCATTCGCGGAGACGGACCTTCGATCCGTTTGGCGAACAGGGCGGAGTTTACGCCACCGTTTTACACCCACGTTCCGAAGGGGCGGATTGACGCATGCGTCGAGGAGAGCAGTCGAAGGGGTTGCAACCCCCGCGGTGTAGGCTGCCTAGAACGACGCGGCAGGTTGCTAGGTGGCCGGGCACATCGGCGTACCGGACCTCCTGCACTTACCGACCGGCGTTGTCGACGACGTAGTTTGCCCCGGTAACGACGTGCCACCGGTTCCCTTCCGGAACAAACCCTCTGTGGTAACGCCGCCCGTTTACGGACAGAATGGTCAGGGAATTTTGGCAGTAATGGGCCAAGGTGTTTCCATTTATTCTTCGGAACCGACGTTTCATCCGTCTTTCCGTTTCCCGATTTTCTCTCTTCGCGGATCTTCGTTATTTCATTGATTCGTCTCGTGGACCGTAGGCTTACGGTATACCTTGGAAGCTTGCGGGAAATGTAGCGGATTAGGGTATTTGATTATTTGTGATTATTATAGTATGAATTTGATAAGTACAATTAGGAGTATGAATTTGATAAGTACAATTGGTAGTATGAATTTAATAAGTACAATTTGTAGTATGAATTTGATAAGTACAGTTGGTAGTATCAATTTGATAAGTACAATTAGTAATATGAATTTGATAAGTACAATTAGGAGTATGAATTTGATAAGTACAATTAGTAATATGAATTTGATAAGTACAATTTGTAGTATGAATTTGATAAGTACAATTAGTAGTATGAATTGATAAGTACATTTGGTAATATGAATTTGATAAGTACAATTAGTAATATGATTTTGATAAGTACAGTTGGTAGTATCAATTTGATAAGTATAATTAGTACTATGAATTTGATAAGTACAATTAGTAGCATGAATTTGATAAGTACAATTAACAATTAATAAGTACAATTGCTTTTATATAAACAAATATCGGATTGACAAATGACTAACTTTGTCAGGTTAACAGGCTGACTAAGTTATTAGATAATAAAGTACCTAATCCTTGCATCTTCTAAATTACAAAATTACAAAATCTTTAAATTTTTTGAAGCTTTGAAATAATAGTACACTAAAGTGTCATATTTTAAACTTTCCCAAATTATAAAATTCTAAAGAACCAAAGGTGAAATTACCAAAGTACTAAATTTCCACATTCTTGAATTTCTAAAAACATCTC